TGTGTGTGTGTGTGTGTGTGTGTGTGTGTGTGTGTGTGTGTGTGTGTGTGTGTGTGTGTGTGTGAATGATGCAGTCAGTGTTCCTGTGTATAGAAAGACAAATGTGAGTGCCAGCATGTTTCTGCATGCATGTGTGTGTGTATATTTGTTTGTAGAGGACTAATTATCTCATGATAGGACTCAGAGGTATGGAGCAAGATAAAAAGCTGCCCGCTGACACTGATTTACACAATCTTTAACACTTAAACCTATTACCATCATGCTTTTAGTGTTACTTTTTATGCTACTTGAAGTTTCAGCTGTACATTTGACTTTATACTTTCATGACTGCTGCAAGAAAACACCCAAAATCTCCAGTGTTAACCCTAAAGACACACAGAGTAACAGCTGATTGTTACTAGTCCTCCTTATAGTTATCAACTGCTTCATCTTGAAGCAAAATGCTACAATGCCTCTAAGATACACTCCCTGAAAACAACTTTATGCTGGCCACCGCTGTACTCACAATATACATATGAACAGACAATATTTCTGGATTGTTTGCTCTGTCTTTGTGGCAAATTTTGTTGCTCTGTTCAGAAATTAATAAACTAACTGACAAATCCATAAGAAATAAAATAAAATATCAGACTCTAATCCTGAGTTTGTGCTCTGGCATTTTTTTCTAACAGTCCTCGGGTCAGTTTGAAATGGATAAAGTCAGGTTACATTTATTTACCACCAGAAACTGTCGGTGTATCTCAGTTCAGACACTTCCACACTGTGGGCAACCCATGTGAATAAAAGAGCAGCTGAAAGTAACTTCTTCTTCTTTTTAGAGTTGTATCAAAAATACTGGATCGCTAGCTGCTGCTTTTTTAGTCTCTGTCTTTCTGTAATAATAAATTCTTCAGATTCTTCTACAGAATTCAAGAAGTTAACAAAACACTAAAACATGCCACAACAAGTGCAATATCTGTTAATTAATACTGGTGTGTGTGCTAAGTACACAGGACATAGCTTTCTCACATTAGCTTAAAAGAATTATGGGTCTTTGTGCGAAGCAGGCTAACCAGCATCACGACCGCTACTGGACACATTTCCACTCAAATGTTTTGCTTAATTTAAACTGTAGGTGTACAGAAATATGTAATTTGAGGCACAGCGCAACAGTTTACGGCCATGCTAGCCACTTTCTGCGGGGTTTTTGTTGACATCTTGGAGATGCTAACTATGTCTGCTTGAGTATTTCTTTACATTCTTGCAAGACTTTCACGTGACACACGTGACACGTGACAGTGTTCTGATCTCTGGGTAATGACGGTCATATCAGGGACAGAGAGGTGGTGGCTGTAACAACCTGACGCATTAAGTCCAGGGTGCAGGAAAGGAGGCAGATTTTAGATGTACAAATGGCTTTTTAAAAGGTTACGGTTATACTAGTCTGTGGACAAGGAGAAGACGTGTGCATTGAAATACTATTTTTACTTCACCTCTATTTTACGTCCTGTATATGGTTTGCTGGGTATTTTACTTGTGTAGCAAATAACTTACTTAATCTTGAAAGATGAAGCAAATATCATAGCAACTGTTGATTTAATGTTTTTTACAGTCTGAAATGAAGTAGTGCTAACTGGCTTTGCCAATCACAGAGTTATGCAGCAAACGTGGCAAAAAGCCCACAGCCAGTGCACTGTCACACTGGTTTCGTACACTGAGTAGCCTGACTCTACCCATTACAACATGGCTCAGTAAAAACTCAAGGGCAATTTAGACTCTATGGTGCGTGGCTTTTCTCATAGAGAAACCTGTGTAGTAATCCAATACAAGTATGTCACATTAAGTGTTGTAGATATTTCCCTGCGAGTCTTCTGTAAATCTCAGTAAAAACAGTCACGATCTTTTCGTTTAAGGGCACAGTCTGATTTCACTTGTTCAGGAAGAGAAAAAACATGTTTTGTTGCTACTTTCAAAAGAAATTTAAGCAAGAAGGAGCCTGAATATTCCTGATGCAGAGCGAAACTCTCCAAGCTTGGTAAAACACGATACCGTTTTGGGCCTTTCATCCTTGGTCAGTCAACCGTGCCAGCCACAGATATATTCTGTAAACTACGTAAACAGCACTGTCTGAATGCAGGGCTTGAGGCAAAACCGTTAAAAGCACATTTTAATCGCTCTGTATTCCCTGTCAAAATAATTCATGTGAAATATAGGACAGGTACAAAATCTCTCTTCCTAAAAGGCTAAAGGTTGGCACAACCCCCCCCCCCCAAAAAAAAAATAAAACAGGGAAACAGGCCCAATAGCCACCAAGACTGGAATAATTCTTGTAATAATGGTTGCTATTCTTTATCTATCAATAGATTATGTTTAGAAAACTTAAAACAACAACTACCACGTCCGCAATCCATAAACTGCCACCGCCGTCAACAATGCTTGAAGTTAAAGTGAAATCATTTGGGGGAGGGAATCTGGTGAGTGAAACTTCCTAAAGGACACATTTTAAAAAGCCTAACAATTTTACAAGTAAGTCTTTCAGAGCAAACACAGTTTGTTTTCCCAAATTTATGGGACATTTGGGAACACGAGGAACAGCAGGCAAAATCAGCTTGTGCTGATTCAGGACCAGGTGTCACTAGGGACTCAATAGATCATAGTCTATCCCCAAGCCCCCTCTGCTGATCCTAAACCAGCTGCACAGACAGAGACGTCAATGTAAGAAAAACAAGATCCAAATTAAAAAGTATAATAAAAATGTTTCCGCCAGAGCCGACTGAATCCAGAACAGTCCTATTAGCTTGTATGGCTGCGTCTGCTGAGGAATGATCGGGGCAGTTAGCTCTAAAACTGATCCCAGTCCAACCATTAAAGGTCGCGAGGATGCAGAGGAGGTTATACTGGACGCCCCATGGCTGATCTTGGAGCTGTCTGAAGGCAGGACAGGCAGGCACTGGGTGCATGGGTGAGGAGAGGCTAACTGCACACACGCACACAAACACGCACAATGTAAATATTAACACACACAAACATGCAGGCACATAACTCCACCTGTAAGCCCTCCTCACACAGTGACCTTAAATGCGTTAGTGTGTGTTGGTGTGTGTGTTGCGAGTGCAAAGTGTAGAGTGCTTATAGCAAGTGTTTGTCTCTGAACTATTCCTTCAAAACAGTTTTTTTCTGGTCCTCCGTGGTTGATTAGCTGGCTCAGTGTACTGAAGTCCCATCGAGGAGCGACACAACAGCGACGCAGTGGTAACAGTTTGTCATTTTCTTCCAAAGAAACACCAAACATGACACAGTGATAGTTGTTTTTGTTTTTTTTAACCCAGAACAGAACATTTCTCTCTGCGCCACACCGGGCAAAGCTGAAGCTGTGAGCATGTATGTGTGTGTGTGTGATCATTAACGAGGCTACATCGTTGTGTGCTGTGTTCTTGTGCTCCTATACTCATGAGGACCAATAATCCCAAAGCTTCGAATTCTATTTCAAGTTAAAGTTTAAGTGTGCAAAAGTTTGATTACGCTGTTCGGTCAAAACTGATATCAGCTGATTACCTTTGATGATGATGGCATTATTTTGATGAGCTTACATGATGCGGATGTTTATTTCTGTCCAGTTTTGTTTTTGATTCTGCAGCACATCCTAAAGATTGTCAATTATCTTGGATCATCATGCCTGTGCTGTGAGAAAAGAAAGGAATCATTGTTGGTCATTCATTTTAATCACATCATCAACTGACCCCCATTTCTTGGGGGTGGGGGGGGGGGTACATAAGGTTGCTGAACCTAGATCAGACCAACTGAAGCAACCCCAGAGGTAAAGTAAAGGCTGGATCTATCTTACCCTGATGCATAAATCACTCTGTAACACGGTAAATCTGGACTCATCAGACCACATGACCTTTTTCCATTCCTCCAGAGTCTGATCTATATGCTTCTGAGCAAACTGAAACCTTTTATTCACTAACTAGCCTCACTAATACATGCTTTTCACAGCTGTTTAGTTCTCTTGTGCGTGTTTAAATACCCTTACTTTTGTTATTAACATAGCCGTGAGTTCTACGATTGGATAATAATCATTCTGGGGGGTTTTCCAACCATATTTTTCCTGGAAGTCGATGCATCATTGTTTCAGGTTTTAAATAATGCATCGGACAGTTCTTAACCCTGTTTTTATTCTTTAATTAACAGTCATTACGTCTTCCAAACTCGTGAAACTGGAGGGTTTACTGATGCTTGTAGGCTGCTATCTGACGCAGTCTTCTCCTGTGCAAGTGCAAACAACAAAAACTAGCATTGAAGCTTTGGGTAAAAGTCCTCAAAAGTAGAGGAATTTGTATGTATAGCTACTTGGAATGCATGTGTCCGTGTGGTGTGTGTGCGTGTGTGTGCGCTGCAGTGCTGAGTGTCCTGCTGGCAAATTGTAAAGTGACCTCTGGCACCGGTGAGGTGAGGTTTATGTCCATGAGCGATCGTCCGAGTGCTCCACTCCTCCTAATGTCCCTCCTGTCAGAAACTTCAGATGTGATTAAAACAACACAACCTCACAATCACATCAAAGTAGAAAATGAAACTAGAATAATAGAATATTAGAAAGACTACAACCCCTGCTTCCCAACTCCGCCCCCCTGCGATCAACCCTCCCCAGCCCCCGCCCCAATGAATAGATTACTATAATATGTGACAGAGTTTATCATCCTCTGCACAGTGGCACCTTTAGAATAGAATAGAATAATTTTTTTTTACTAATAATATATCAGAGTATCAAAGCTTTATGAAGAAGAGATAGACAGTGGCCTAGTCTCAAAAAGCACCCTGTGCTCTACTGAAGTAAACATCATTACAGCGCGGGCTAATGGGCCCGCGCGCCCTTGTAAGGCGTCTTTTGTGTAGCAGTCGAGTATCCCTACAGAGTATAGAGATTAGGGTGCCATTTGAGACTAAAGCAAATGTAAGCACTGGAAGCAAATGGATATGGCATGCATGGTTTGAATGGTCAACGCTGACATGGCTCATGGATGGCAGTTCTGAACTTCGACCCTAAGCAGACCTCTCGAGGTCTGAGCCGATGAGAGCTACGAAGCTACCGCTACTGTTGAGTCAGTAAATCCTACGCGGATTAGAGTACTTACAACTGCAAACCTAAAGCTAACCTGGAGGTCGTGATACATAGAAAACATCTGGAGTAATATTTGGCACCAGGCATATTTTGCTAATTTATGTTTGAATCTTAAGCAACTGAAATAACTCTTAAATATGCTACCTTTGCTTAAGGCAATAGTCTTCATCTCTAATTACGTCACAAAATTACTCATCTAACCTAAAGTTAAGTCAAAAAAAAGTAGCAGAGTAGAAAAGCGTAGTCTGATTTTCCTCTACTTCAGCTTCTCTTTTACACAAAGCGTGCTGTATTAGCGGTTAGCTTGTTCAACAACGATTGTTTCTGTGCAAATGTACTTTGCTTTTTCTCCCCCTCCCTCCCACGTTACACCCTTAAAATGAAATTGCTGCAGTGCTGAGCATAAAAAGCCCTTGTGTGCTCCTGTCCTTTAAAAATTAAAAGCCCTTGCTTGGAGAAAAGTAGGGTTTTTTTTCCCCTTTCACAGCCCATGACAAAAGCTGATGCCCCTAGTTGCAGTTGCAAAATTAATATTTACATGTAGAGGACAGTAGCAATGCACGTTTGTCCCTTTAAGCTCCCTTTATGGCGTCGGAGACAGGAGATAAAACAGCAGCATCATAAATTAAACAGTGTGTGCGAGGTTTAAAACATATTTTATTATCAGAGTAATGACTGTCAGAGTAGTAGCTTGACAGTGTCGGGTTGGTGTTGTTTCATGTCGACTTTATACAAAACAGTGCAATGGCTGTTTATGGGAAGGTAAAAGAACAATAACTGAAAAAATAAAAAAAGCATTTTTTTTCCTCTTTTGAGTTTCACACTTACTTGTTACTCACAGTCCCAGAAACAGGTTGAGAAAAATGGTGTGACTAGATACTCATGCTCAGGTTTCACAACCCTCCCTGTCTCCTCTCTGTAGATTTTATGGCTGTGTTGCCTTTTTTCTCACAGTGTCAAATTCTGTCGCCTCGTGTCGTGAGATAGAAGATTACTGAGTAAAGTGAATAATTCAGCTTGTTTTCTTAATGTTTTAGAATATGCCTCCTTTTACTAAAAGGCTGGAATACTTCAGAATTACAGTAGTTGCCACTGCTTACAAATGCACAGATGCAGCATTAGATTGTTGGGAAACCAAGTGGACTGACTGTGTAAATATTAGGCATATAGTAGTAGATCAGGGGCTTTATCACAGTAGTTTTTTGTGCTGCTTTTCCTGCAGAAAAGTAAGGCCATTACACACCGAGCATGCTGCAAAAAAACCAAAATGAAATTCTAGATCTTTCAGATGCGAATTTGTCGTGTTAGGTATATGCTGCATTTTTGCAAAAAACGTCCTCAAAAAAGACGCATCAAGCCACAATGAACTGGTCCTGATGTTTCTAAACAACAAAAGGAAAGAAGCAGAGATTCTGGGTTCATTCAATTCTCACGAGAAGGCAGCAGCATGGAGAATTTCATGGTTTGATCCAGGAGTTGAATCTTTATCACGACTGCTGTCGTACATATTTCAGGATGTCAGCAGGGCAGTCTGAGCTCTTCCCACATCTGAGGAGGCAGGGAAATTATTTCAGAGTTGACTGACCTGGAGCACCATCTAGCTGTATGTCTGAAAAGAAACAGTACTGTTGCGTTTCGGTATGTTCAGTAAGTGCGTTTTGAGCTACAAGCGCACTTGTTGCCACATGCAGTGGTCTGATTGGTCAGATCTGTTAATTCGAATGCAAAAAAATCTTAAAAAACTGTGCTTGATTCCATAAATTAAATCCAAATTCGTCTTGCAAAATTATGCGGTAGCTGTGAACGCCTGCATTGAGAATAGGCGAGTATTTTTAACAAACAAAATATTGGTGCAAATTTTACATGTCCGGTGTGTAAAGGCCATTAGTCTGAAAGGCGTCCAAACACTGCTGCTCAGTCAGATGCACACAAAGTGTTCTCCGGTGCCTCGATGCGTGGATCGCAGCAGTATTTGACACTGGTCGTCTTAAGGCTGGAGAGGTGGCAGTGGAGTAAGTAACTAGTTTGTCAGCCAGTGTGTGAGCAGTGGAGATTAAGAGCAATGAGGAGGCTGTGAGTGACTTAAATAAATAATAAAATTGGATATCCTCCAATTCCATCTCCCGCTGCTTAATTTGTGTGCTACATACGAACAGTTTCCTCCTATTGGAGACGTCTACTTTAGCTTGTGTTTACTCCTGCGGCTGTAAATCTGACAGGTTTTAATATTAAATCAGAAATGTGTTCACCAAGAGGTAGTGGGCAAACAAACGGTGCTGCCTTAAAGCCTATTCACAGCTCAGTGGTCTCCCCTCCACAGTACCCTGAACCAACAACCTCCAGAAAACCTAACTAGTCTCCAAAAACGCCACCAATGGAAGACAGGAGCTAAATCTAGTGGAGAGGATGGGAAGGGTGAGAGGAGGTGTGGCTACACAGAAAAAGGTGAGAGGTGACACATGGACGCAGACAGACAGCTTGGCAGACAGACCACCTCTTTTTAGGTTTTAGGTGAAAAAATAAATAAATCAAGAGGTGGCAGAGAAAACAGAAGGAAGCACCAATGGATCTTACGTTACCATCTATAAGAGATTCTTTAGGTTGTTGAGTCAGACCTTTTCTACCCAGCCTGCAACAGCTAATCCACGGTTTCTTCTTTACTCATTGAAATCGCCAGGTAGGTTTAACCACTGACCTGGAATCAGAGCGATGAGGGGAAAATGTGACCAGGGAAGAGCTCAATTCATTTTCAGTTCAGTCGTGAAGCGAGCTTTCCGATCGATCAGTATGAAAGTTTATATACAAAATGTATAGAAAATGATAACTGCTTCCACAAATGCACTGGTTTAAATGGGCAAACCGATCTTCAGTTTATAATTTGAATCTAGCTGAACTGAAAAGGAATCAGAGCCCACGACAAGGTGCTGACGTCTTCACGTTTACTGTAATCAGAGGGTCAGCTGGGAGCTCTAAGGCCGGTCCCCTTCCCTGACCCGACTCTGCTGCTATCCAAAAGGTCAGGAGGACAGAGGTTCACACAAAGTCTGTCACTCCTTCTCCTCAAATTCACATTGTAGTTTTTTTTGTGGTGCTTTTGTTTTTTTTGTTGTTGTTTTTTTTTAAAGAGAAGTTGCCCCAAACAGAAAAAACACTTAATATATTTTACATTTCCACTAATTCCCATTTCTCCTGTGAGGAAAAAGCCTGAAAATCAATTTATGAACATAAAACTCATGAACATAAACCGAATGTGCCTTGATATATAAGGAGTTACAAGTATTACTACAGTGATATGTGCTGGGGCTGGGAACAACTTCTCTATTAAAACCAACCCTGCTGCACACACTCTCACAGGGCTCAGGATTCACAGTTCGAAGGCTAAAAGTTCACAGTTCACAGTCGAAGTTTAGCAACCGCCCCCCCCCCTTCCCACCCCATAACCCTGTGTGTCCCCTGCTTTTGCTTGCACTCTCCCCCCCCACATTTCTCATCCTCCTCCTCTTTGATACTCTGATTGGGGCGATATCTGTAGCCAGCACCTCTCAGACAGGTGTGGTTCTGCGGTTGGGGTCCTTGCTGTAGTCTTTAGTGAGCGTGCTGCTCTGGAGGAAATCCCTCTCCGAGTTAAGCAGCCCGCCTAAGCCGCCAACAGGTTTGCTGCCGGCATTGCCGGCCTCTCGTGGGTTCAGCGTGTACATGGGCATCTCGGAGGCGGCGGGCCCTGTGTAGCCACCTTTCCCCAGTGGCGAGGCATCGCGGCTGGGAGCCTCTGAAGAGCGAACGCTGGAGCGGCGCCGGAAACGGTAGCGATAGGAGGGGATGCGGCTAAAGGCGGACTTCTTGATGAGCTCAGTGCGGGACTTGGCCCGGAGCTTGCGGTGCTTCTCAATGAACATGTGCACAGCCAGCACACCCACCATTTCCGCCATAATGAAGGAGAGGGCGCCGAAGTAAAAAGACCAGCCATAGGAGTAGGACTTCTTGCTGTCACTCTGGCCTGGGTCGCCAGAGTTGGCTGAGATATAGACAATAATTCCAATGATGTTACTGAGGCCTGGACAGACATAAAGAAAGAGAAACTGTGAGAGCCACAAACTAACAAAAATAACACAACTACAGTATACTAAGAGACGGTCATGGTACCTGTGTATTGGACCCAAGGTTTAAAGCATTCATGATTATTTCTGGGTTTGTGACCTGATTTGTGTTAACTTATTTAGTCATTTGAATATATTATTAGATTTTGTCTTTGTTTCTAGTTCTTGCTTTCTTGTTTGATGAGGTTAGTTCCCTTTCCTGTCCAGCCTGTCCTCGTCTCAGCGTTTCCTGCGTGAAGTCTGTCCTTTCTCCGTGTTTGTTCACTTTTCTCTCGTTGTGTAAACTCTGCATTTCTGTTCCTATTCGTTTTATTTTGACAGACTCTTGTCCTGTGTGTGTTAAATTCAGTTTTCCTTCCACTTGTCTAATTGGTTAGATTCAGTTCAGCTGTGTGTTTTTCCCCAATCTGCCCTCGTCTCCTCTTAAACCCTCAGTTTTCTTGCTTCTTTATTGTGTCCTCCCTTGTGTTGTGTGTCCTGTGTTTCTTCTATAGTTCCTAGCTTGTAAGTCCCTGGCTTTTGCCTTTCCTGAGTTTTGTGTTTTGGTATTTTGATCCTATGAGTTCTAGAAATATTGGGTTCAAAACCTACCTGCCGCCTGATATATCATGTAATGTATTTTTTTTCTTTCAGGCACACAACATAATCAGATTTCACTATTTGATATGTATAGTTATTTATTTACTTGTTTACCCTCTGCTCAGATAAGCTTTTTTGTGTTGGTGGCGTTCCAACACATGTGGTCAACAGGGAAGTTGCCCTCTGGTGGACAAACTGTGCCACATCAGCCAGTGTAAATAACCGATACCGCTAAAATAACAAATAGCTGATCGGCCGATAGTTTCAGCCCATCGATAAATTGGTCAGGCTCTAGTGAGCAGTGTGCAGTAATTGAATACTTTAATTTCAAAACCTCAGTAACTGAGGCTCTTCTAAAACACGGTTTGTTGGCTTAAAAAACCCCAACTCTAAAATGTCCCTTCCCTTTATCCTTTACAGCACCGCCAATCAGAGGAAACGAATCAGATCATGTAGACACTCAAACAGGTCCAGTTCCATTTATCTGTTAGTGCATGAATGTTGTAAACAACATGAGCAATTTAGTATCCTAACTTACAACACCACACCCTTTTTTTTTAACAGTGATTTTTGTCTGTTAACCTTCATTTATTAAAGCAAGGTGTGTGGTGAAGCTACTGTGGGATATCTCTTATTTGTAATGTTTTTGTTGGCTATTGTGTTGTCATTTTGTCTCACTGCATGAGCCTGTACTGTGTTATTGCTGACCAGTTTGTTCAGCGATTTCATTTGTAATGTTTCCAGCTACATCGTTAGTCCTATCTGGTGGACATGGTGCATTTTTCTGCAAAAGACAGTCGCATTTGTTAAAAACTAATGAAAATACAATTTTTCTGTGACTAATAACCTTTTCAGTGCAATTAAAGTGAACTTACTAAACCTTAACATGTGAGTCAGATAAAAAATGCTTAGTTAAAACTAATAATGTTGTAAAGATTTAGCGGTTTTGTTTTTTTTCCGCGCATCTCAGGTCTTTAATTACAATTCTGGCTACCGGCGAGACAATCGAGATAAGACGATTATCTGCGTTCTGTTTTGCAACAATGCCCCCGTTTTATATTGTGCTACATAATAAATTCAACCAATGTTGTTTACAGCAGTGCCTTTACTTTAATTTGCTTTAAATTGATTTTTTTTAAACTCCTATTCAACGTTTAAGGAAATCCATTGTTAAAAAAGACAAGGGTTCAATAAATGCATCAGTAAAGGTTAATGAGTGTTTTTAATAATTCCGATTACAAAACCGACCAATAATAATCACCTTGCAAGACCCCAGGAGACCCCGGGAACATCACCAGGATCATTACAGTACAGATACGTAAGTATAATGGTGTGTGCAAAGATGCTTTGCTGCGTCTCAATGAAAGACTCTATAGGTGTGTGTGTTTGCACTCTCACACCCTCACAGTGCCTCACAGTGGCATCATGGCATTCTTGTTGATTGATTAATCAGCTACTGTGTCCCATATCCACACTTTGGTGCCTCTCATGGGCTCTTCTGTGTGCTTTAGATGCTCAATGGGCTCCTCAACAAATATCTGAATGCTGTGCCTCCTCCGTTTAGAGTCGGCCCACAGTGACACAGCTGCACACACTCAGACACATGTGGCTCACACAGACAGCCGCCTTGTTGTTATCTCAAGCTCCTTTCACCAGGTCAGAGAATGTAAGGCATTTGGCTGGTACTGTATTTAAATAAAAAAAAAAAGTGGTATGAGGTGCTGAATTTGTGAATTAGTAAGTGTGGTTTCATGTACGCTGTTCTGATGACTGACGATCACTGTAGCTAAATTCCTAAGAGGAAAGAGGACACACATGGACACGCAGAGACACTCGCAGTGATGACTAACCTGCTGAGACGAAGAAGATTCCTGCGCTGAGGATGACGTTGTGTCGGCTTCGGTAAAACTCACTGGCAGCCACGCAGAGCCCACCCAGAAACAGCAGACCCACACTCATGATGGGGAAAAGACTGGAGGCACGCACAGCACCTGCACATACACACAAAGAGTGGAAACGCGTTCATAACAGGTGCAAACTTTTTATTTTGCCGTGTAAAGACGTCGCCTTTCAGATCCATCAGAAACTGATGAAGGATCATTTGTGCTGGAAGAACAGTAGCTCCACCATTACGTCATCAAAATCACTGGTGCGCATCACTTCTGTGCTGGATGGAGGATGGAGATGCAAGGGGAAGAAAAAAAGAAAGAAAAAAAGGTTCCACTTTACACACGCGAGGCAGCGGGCTGCTAAATGCTCGACTGAACCTGAATTCTGAACATGTTAAAGCATTCAGAGGATTTGCTAGAGAGAGCAAGGGAGAGAGACCGAGAGACGGACGGAGAAGGGGAAAAAAATGGACAAGACCCAAGACAGATGGAGAGTCACGCTGACATATGCGAGGCAAAATAATGAATGTGAAAGTGAGGCTTCAGTGGGAGTGAAATATTTGTCATATGTGTGCAGGATGCGATAACATATTGAGGAATATTTGCAAACAGCTTGTTGCGCAGAACTGAGATTCGGGCTATTTTGAGACACCGAATATATGAGGAGAGCCCATGCATCAGAGTTTTATCATATACGGTTGTGTCTTCACAAAAAGACTAAAAGTAAACGAAGCAGATCATTGTCGTTTTTTTCTCCATCTGTTTTCTTTATGTTTGTTGTTTCTTGCGTGGCAAAACATTCCCGCCGTGACCGAGAGCTGCAGATATTGCTCGTACAGACTCCGCCCCTATGGCCCACAACCCTGGGCTGCATGAAATGCTGGTCACTAGGTCTCTGCTCCTTATTGGCTTATCAGCTCTGAGGACTGTGATCTAATTGGCTCCCTCTGGGGATGTTGCTCTGTGTTCAGTGGAGCAATGAAAAAGAGGCACAGGCTGAATCCCTTCCCCTTCTTTTCTGTTGTTGTTTTCCACCTTTACTCCTACAATAAACAGAGAGCTCACTTCTCTGTGTTTTCTACTAAATACTCTCTCTTTATCTTTTTATCTTCTTTTTTTCTTATAATCCTTTTTAACCTTATGAAGGCGTTTTTTAGGTTCAGTTTCTTAACTACTTGCCATTAGTTTGTGTTTCTTCATTATGTAGTGTTATGGAACGCCATTAAGGTCATAATTTGTTTTGTTGTTCCTGCTATTAGACATTGTAATATTGCCAGCTGCTGTTTATAAACACTGTTCTGGGTACATAATTATACCAGCTGGCATAGAAATGCCAGTCACAATAATATTTTTTTTTTTTTTTTTTAAGAAACTACCCATTTCCCATTATCCTTTGGATGAGAAGAGTGATAAAGAGTACTGAGTGAAAGTCTTCTTCTTTATATTTCCTTATGTTTTGCTTGTGACTTGTGACAGTGACCTATGAAACATTCAAACATAAAAAAGCCAAATTACATTTTTTTTATAGGCATACAATACTATTTTTGCACCAACAAGGTGATCCCCAAAGTGTTATTAGCTGACACATTTCAGCATGGTGTGGAGATTGGCCTGAAATCTGAGGTAAATGGACAAGTGGATGACAAATGAACAAGTGGGAGGCCCCCCAAAAATATCTACACCAGATATAATCACCCTATTAGAGCACTTCGCTCTCGCTCTGCAGGCCTACTTGTTGTTCCTAGAGTATTTAAAAGTAGAATGGGAGGGAGAGCCTTCAGTTTTCAGGCCCCTCTTCTGTGGAACCAGCTTCCAGTTTGGATTCAGGAGACAGACACTATCTCTACTTTCAAGATTAGGCTTAAAACTTTCCTTTTTGCTAAAGCATATAGTTAGGGCTGGACCAGGTGACCCTGAATCCTCCCTTAGTTATGCTGCAATAGACGTAGGCTGCCGGGGATTCCCATGATGCATTGAGTTTTTCCTTTCCAGTCACCTTTCTCACTCACTATGTGTTAACAGACCTCTCTGCATTGAATCATATCTGTTATTAACCTCTGTCTCTCTTCCACAGCATGTCTTTATCCTGTCTTCCTTCTCTCACCCCAACCGGTCGCAGCAGATGGCCGCCCCTCCCTGAGCCTGGTTCTGCCGGAGGTTTCTTCCTGTTAAAAGGGAGTTTTTCCTTCCCACTGTCGCCAAAGTGCTTGCTCATAGGGGGTCATATGATTGTTGGGTTTTTCTCTGTATCTATGAAGCACCTTGAGGCGACTTTTGTTGTGATTTGGCGCTATATAAATAAAATTGCACGGTGGCACGGTGGTTAGCACTGTTGCCGCACAGCAAGAAGGTCCTGAGTTCAATTCCACCATCAGGCCGGGGTCTTTCTGTGAGGAGTTTGCATGTTCTCCCCGTGTTTGCGTGGGTTCTCTCCGGGTACTCCGGCTTCCTCCCACTGTCCAAAGACATGCACTTAGTGGGGATAGGTTAATTGGTTAATCCAAATTGCCCATATGTGTGAGTGAATGTGAGTGCGAATGGTTGTCTGTCTCTGTGTGTTGGCCCTGCGACAGACTGGCGACCTGTCCAGGGTGTACCCCGCCTCTCGCCCTATGACAGCTGGGATAGGCTCCAGCGCCCCCCGCGACCCTGAAAAGGATAAGCGGACGCGAATGGATGGATAAATAAAATTGAATGGAATTGAATAAATAGTATCTGAAAGTCATATTCTTAAGAAATGGAAAATATCCACACTTGACACAGGACCTGAGACAGAGATGTGGCCTTTCAGTGGATCCTGTTATTGTTTGTCAAAGCGAAAGAATTGTCAACTTTTGAACCACCATGCAATACCATCTGTAAATTGCTAGACTGGCAACAGATTCAATTTCCAGCACGATCACAATCACAGTGCCAAGACAGTACAAGCATACCAAGATAGATAAAAACACAATAAAACATATCAATCATGGAATGGCCTCCCCAGAGCCCAGGCCTCAACAATACTGAAACAGTGTGGGATTACCTTGATGCCAGCATGGTGGCTCAGCTGTTAGCTAACTTTTGCCTCACAGCAAGAGAGCACTGGTTTCAAACCTGTAAAGGGACATGCTCCATGGAGTTTGATTGTTTTCTCCATGCTCACACTCAGGTTTCTCCTGCAGTCAAAAAAGCATGCAAGGTGAATGCTGCTCTTGGCCTTGGCCTTGTCTTGCCAAGCAGATTTGTAATCTCAAGAGACCTATTTAATGGTTAAGGCAGGATTAGAGGTTTATTGCCTAACAATAATGTGATAGCTGGAATATTTCAGTGCAAGTTTGTGCAGCGAGGCAAAGTAGCAGGCCACCATCAAAGGAAAAACTTCAGGGGTTCAATCACATGCCTTTTAACTGTAATCAAAACAGTATGCATAAGTACTGTGCACATAAGGTGAGCTGTTAAACGCCTAAACAGTGCTCCATACAAGAAATGACAAAATAACTAACTGGTGTTATTTTAACTGTATTTGTAACACCTCCAGTGTTCAGCTGCTTACTGACTACTGCTTTCTCTTCCCCAGAGAAAAAAGGTTAGTGGGAATATCCCACTCCTAGAAGAAAGATTAACTGTCAGTGTTTTGTGATTTTCAATTGGTTACATTTAATTAAAAAAAATCCATTGTTCTGTACTCTTTCCTCTACATTAGTCTTGAGTTGCTACTACAAAATAGTGGATGGAACTAACTTTGTGATCCTTAACCATACTACCCCTGTAGTTTGTCCTGCAGATGGGGCTAGAGAGGGGGGTTAGAGGGGGGTTGTTCATGATTGCCTCACACCCACATCATGCCTGTGTGCTGTTTCTAACGCAGACTTTACAAAATAATTCTCTTTTCAAGCCGATATGAAACATTGTTGTCACACACCTAACAATGGAATTGGCTTTACATCGCTTGGGAACATACGATGGGTTGAGATAACAAAAAAACAAGTTTAGTGATTAGTCAGACAGTTCTACTCTAAATATGGTAACACTGGCCAGTAAAAGCCTAGTTGTGAATGCACAGTGCAGTGTGTGCTCATATCAGACTCACGTAGGAGGTATTCAGCTGCGTCTGCTTCATAGTCAGCATCTTCTGGGAAGTGATCAATTTTCTTACACACACCTCTGAAGGTTCCTGGAGAAGAAACACACATCAGTTTAGATAGTATAGTAGTAGTTTATTTTGAACAACACAGACATGAAAAGTTGTTTTGTTTGATAAATACTAATTTTCGGATGTATCTCATTGTATACACGGACAACTCTGTGGTACTGTCCGATCAGTTCCGCAGCATTTTTCTGAATGTAAGCAGAGAGTATAGCCCTGCACACTATACAATTCATCCTGCCGCGTGTATCATTCGCCACAGATGCCCCGATATTGTTCAGATCATGCGGTTTCTCCCTTTTTCTTCTTCTCCACACTTTTCTAATCTTACTAGTACAAGTTAAAGACATTTTCTGTGAAAGTCCAAGTGTAACTAGTGGCTTGCACCTTATTGTAAACCCTCTGTATTTTTGATTCATTAAGGCATTATAGAGTTTTGATTGATTATACACACCTCCTCAAGTGTTCTTGACTTGGTCAGATGTTGTTTTTTAACCATGGAAATAATTCTGTCAACATGGTTTTTAGTCATATTTTTTTTTAGTCTTTTGGTGTTGCTGAGCTGCTCAGTGCTCCTTTTTAAGGATGTACCAGATTGTTTATTTGACCACTTCTAAATGTTTGCCGTTTCTCTGTAAAAAGGGTGGTAGGATCTTTTCTTTTAAGATCAGATCTTTTATAAGCCTCATTTGTCATGGCATAATGAGAGAACAGGCCTCACCTGGACACGATTCTAGTCAGTAAGTTGTTCAATTACTTTTGAGCCTCTTAAAAATGTGGGACTGTGTTTAAAAATGGCTCAGTTAATGTGATGCTCATGTTAAAAACTCCTTGAACTACATCTAATTCAGGTTACCTCTTGATTATTTGACTTAAAAACCACTCTGGTGGTGCAAAGAGGCGAAACTAAATTGTATGTACGCACACACATGTTGTCAGAGGTATATTTAGAAGAGAAAAGAGTGATGTCACTGTTTAGTAGTGTTCCAGCAAATGTATTTTACAAACTACTTAGCAGCTTACCCTGAAGATGCTGCTTAGCTCTGCACCACCATCTGCTCAGCTCATACACATCCTACTACTGAGAGTCTTACAGGCTTACAAGGAGTCAGACCTAAATTATCCCAAGCATCTTTTGCTGTATATTCTCACACACATTAATAGGACCCTTTATTCTATCCACACACACACTATTTGATGCACATTCCCATCAGTCACAGGTGTACCTGTGCTGACCAGGTATCAACAGCATAGCAGGAGCATACAGTGAGGGTCAGAACAAGGTTAGGACAAGGTTTCAACAATTGCTTTCTATCATTTTTAGCCACTTCTTCTTGAAAGCGTAAATGTCATTGCCAATGGTCACATTATTTGACTGACTTGACATCCAATATAAATTTTGGGAGATGGAGCATGTGCACTTCCTGTAAGCAGATGTGAAAGTATATCGACAGGCAGAGAGAGAGATGATAGATGATGCAGGGCAGAGCTGTAGCCTTCAGGCTGTGTATGGGAAACACTAATGAAAAGCCTTATCACACCCAGCACACACAAACGCACACCGTTTCAATGTAAAAGACAAAAATGCACAACGGCTAAAGTAAAGACATCAAATGAACACACACGCGCACCGAGCTCATTAAAATGATACATGAACACTATCAATCATGCATGCAAATAAAAGCCCCGTGTATTTAGATTGCTTATATGAGTGCATGCTGGTTCGCCCATGTGTGACTGAGAGTGTGTGTGCGTTTCATGCAGAGAGTGACTCATCCTCCTCAACACACCGACTCACAGAGACACACAAACACACTCACCAGTAAACTCTGTGTGTGCGCTCTCGTGTAGGACCGTGTTTCTATGTGCATGCACGTGCACGCCCGCGTGAAACTACACTGCATGCAGCCTCCTTCCCACCCATCATTCAGTCCCATTCACACATGGTCAACACCACGGGGGCTATGAAAGAGAGCGGCACTGAGGAGGGATGAAGGGGAGCAGCAGAGAAAGAGAGATGAAGAAGGATGAAGAGAGAGGAAGTGCGGGCTGAAAGAGGTTTGGTGGTAAAACGGCACGGGAGAATTAGAGAGAAATAGGAGGATAGAGGCTGGCAATGAACAAAATAAACGACTCGAGCTAATTGCTTCTTTGCACATGAAGAGGCTTTTTCCAGCACCCACACTCAGAAAGTCATTCATAAATTGATTCATCCAACTCATGCAGTAGGGGATGGAAACTAACATCTGACTGTGAAACTGATTGACTTTTATGGTCTTTTATATCTCCATTTATTAAGATAATCATCTGCAAAAAACATGTGAATCAAACTTTGTTATGCATCATTCTTAAGGCAATATACCACCACAAATGTATGCATAATATCACCTCAGCACACCCTCTTAATCCAAAGTGCAACACGTCCACAAATACATACTTCAACAGAAACTATTTGGTGGTTTGAATTTTCTCCTATACACTGAGCCCTTTCTCTGCTCCCCTCACCAGCCTCCATCCTGTTTGACAGTGTTGAGTATGAGCAAAATAAGCTTTTGTATTTCCAGATCACACAACCCATTGCTGGGAAAATACTACAGCTGGCAATTTGAAGATTATAATTTAGGCTCCACTCACAGAATTCCGGAGACTCTTTAGTGAATCTCCAGCAACCATTGCTCGCTGGACAAAAATGTGTATTCCATGACTAGTTGGAGAGTTTCTGGCAGTTGCTAGTTATAATTGGTTGAAAAAAGGTACCATGCTACACCAAATTGCTTTGGTTGATAGCAGGTTACCCTGCTTGCCTAAAGCATATTTTTCCAGGTGTCACCACTTCCCAGCTTCTAGTTAATGAATCTTTGAAGGCAACAACAGCAATCTGCTAGCAAACAAAGCAGTAACAAGAAGGTTAATGATGGAGCACTTTCTTTGCAACCAGGAATTTGGAGCACCCACTCTCCAACCTGTTGGAGAACACACATTTTTCCTTAGCAACTAGAGGTTGCCAGGGGTCACCAGCTGGCCTCTAGGCCTGTGTTACTGAAGCCTTGTTTATCAAAAACGATTTTTATAGCCACCTACGCATTAAACAGCTAAGATAGAATGCTTATATTTTTAACCAATGAGTCGCAGTACACCGAGTTGCAGTATACAGTATAGTCTTTGATAACCAAAACAAGCATCGCTTACATTTTATAATTCAAATCATGTATTAATTAATCAAGCAAGAAGATATTCAGAATTATGTGCATAACCAACAGGCTTACTGCCACCCAGGTAATCACTGAGATATTCAAATGCTCGAATTGAAACCGAAGGGAGAATTCCAAAACTCCACACATGGCGACTGTCCCAACCATAAAGAGTCAATCAGCTGCCCTGAACCATGTTTTTTTGGAACCAGGAAGCAATGAACTGTTTTTCTGTAATAAAGAATTCACAGAGCTGTCAATGATTTATTGTGACATTTTAAAGGTGCCCTCAATCCACCAAGAAAGTACACACTGTATTCTGTTTAACTTTTTGATTTGTAAGATTATTAAATTGCATTTTTCTGCCTAACCAATGAAGCCGTGTCCATTATTAATGTAGTAATGATGCAGGCGAGTATATATGAGTTTTCTTGGTTTACTGTATCCATAAAGTGATGGATGCAGTATATTACTCAGTGGTCTGGTGGGAGTAGCCGCTGATCATGTCAGCAGCATTTTTTTCAGCTTGGACCGGTGACTCTTTGTGTCCTAGTGAACACTGGGATTAAAGTTTTCTCCCCATTCACTTAGATAATGGCCAAACTATCTGCCTGTGTATTGCAAAGATAGCTGCCAAATGGTGAGACTTGCTTCAGGAAGGACTTTGATAATATCACCAAATGCCACTTAAAAAACAAATTTCCTAACAATACAGTTACTCATGTAGAAGTACATGGCCATCTATCTTTAGTACTTTAGATCAGTGGTGCAATTGGGAAAGACTGTGTCCTCCAGTGGTGTGACTCAGCAATTTGTTCTATGCCATATGTTTTTATGGCAGTAATAAAATATTTTCCTTTTTGGGATTTAGGCACACTGGATGAGTTTGTTGATAGTGAGAAATAAAAATGATTAATGCGGATGGTTTACACGGATGTTACAGGTGGAGTGGAAGGTAACCGGAAAATCGGCTGCTGATGCTGTAAAGCGTCATCAGTCAGAGCTGCTTTGTGTCAGGCGGCTGGGAAATTCATTATAGCTCCAGCCTTTTTAAGTGAACAGATTTGCATCAAACCATTATGATGATTAGGGCACTGAGCGGCACAATAAAATTGGGGATGTACCAATATATTGGCTGATATCGGCTTAATTCACTGCTACCAGATGACACAGGCTGATAACATGTTGTCTGCAATCAATTTTGTGCTGGGTAGATTTTCAAATATACCCCTATGAAGAGCTGGAAGACATTTAGGTTAATTCTCTTATAATAAAGATTTCTTTCTTTCTCTGAAGCAAAGCGGAAATAAATAACAACAAAAACAAAAATAGCCCGGCTCACGGACATGTGGGAGGAGGGAACATAGATAGATGACCGCTTTTATCTCTCTCTGGGACAAAGAATCAAAATCACAACTGAGAAAACACAGTTAAAAAGCAGATGTGCGCACATACACACACACACACACACACACATTTTGTTTTTGTACATGATGTCACACTATCCATTTTAAAAAACAAAGACATCTGCTAAAAATAACTTCAAGACTCGTGTGCTGGACCTTCAGGTTAGTTGAAGTTGCCATCACATCACTAAATATCTAATATATCTTCAAAACGTGACACCATGCACAAAATGTCAACATGCTGCGATTAATAAAGAATGTTTGCTAAGCTGTGATCGATATGAAACTTCACCACAGAGGACAGGACGAGGTGTAGTGCTATTTGTATAAGTGGACCATTTATAATGTTATGGTACTGCTGTGGGGGCTACCTTAAACTGTGACCTGTCATCAATAGTACAAAGCCAGGTGGAGTGGAGAACACATATGC